GTATGATAGTATTACCCTGGTATTGAAAGAGCTTCATCGGCTTCCTGTCTCACAGAGAATTGAATTTGAAATTCTTTGTTTGAAATATAAAATCGTGTATGGTCTGGCTCCTTGCTATTTGCAAGAACTTATACACATTCACAATGTTGGTCGTCAGTTGAGATCGAATTCCCAGGGAAATTTAACTTTATATCAGCCAATAGGGGGCAATAAGTATTACAGTGACAGGGCATTCCAGGCCTCTGCACCTAGCCTTTGGAATGCACTGCCATTGTCGATACGCGCTTCAGCATCATATGATTTTTTTAAATCCTCTCTTAAAACATATTTATTTAAGATAAGTTATCAGTGAAATAAGTTTTATGTTGATTTTTAAATGGTCATGGTTTTATTTAATTGATCTCTGTAGTTTGTAATGTAATAATTTTTAATTAGGACCTATTGGGTGTTATAGTTTGTAGTGTATGGGCCTATTGTTGTACAGCGCTCTGAGATAATTTTTATGGAGGGCGCTTTATAAAAAACTATTATTGTTGTTATTATTATTATTATTATTCTATACCTATGGTGAATGGTATAAATGTACAGCCAATATGGCAGGGATAACCATGGACCAGAACATGCCTTTAAGCTAGCTGAACTCAGCGAACAGATGGTGGCTTGATTGCAAGCTTTGCCTCTGCGTCAAGCATACCGACATTCAAACAATAAAATGAATAGTCCAGTGTCATCAAAAATTTACCAAACAATTCGTCCACTTGATTCGTCAGCTTTTGGGTTCTGTGAGCAATTACGCCTGTTTTGTTTTTATTCTGTGAGTATGGGCCGAGACATTTTGATTGGTTATTAGGTAAAGTTCAGAGGTTAAAAGGTTGATACCATGTAGTCTTTCTCTCAAGATGGTCTACATTTGATACAAAATGTGTCTTTCAAAACCAGGTTAAAAACGTTCTCACGCCTAATGCCTTGGAAGGCAGTCGGACAATCGTATATGAAACCATTCGTTACAAACAATTTGTGATGCAAAATTTTGAACTTTCCAAAGGCTAAATTTTAAATGCCTCTTAACCATGCAAGTTCCAAGGATTGCCTCGGAAAGTTCATTCTAGAAATAAAACGTTTGCACAAGCGAAAACTTCGGAGAAAACCTTGCACCAATGAAAGAAAGTCATGTTGCAGTGTGACATCCAGGTTTCGAGGACAAGCCGTGGTTTTAGCAAAATTTACCAAATGCTGTTTCCTATGAGCTAAAAAAAATCTTCGCATTCGTTTTTCTGAGAGATTCTTTTGGTTCGATTTCCGTTTAGGGACTACTAAGGGCCGCACGTTTGGAAGATATCACCAACACTTTGGTTTTACATTGCCTCTTGGTTTTCAAAAAGCTACAGGTACAAGAACTGGAGCCGCCATAAAGTTCCGTAAAAGATTTCAAAACCTTCATGTGAAATGGCGCAAACCAAATTGCCAAAGCGCAGTCGATATCTGACAAGGAATCTGATTGGATAGTTAAGCTACTCTTTGTTTGTGAAATGTGCTTCTTCTCTATTAAATTTTTTGGTATTTTGCTTGATTCAGCTATTGACAGCAGCTGATTTTCTTTCATAACATGAATTTGCAGGTACGTGTATTTAATTTGGGTTTTTGTGCGACCAAGACACAGCTTTCAACAGATGCACACACATCATTACAAATACAAAACAATTAAAAATGAAAAATACGAATTTACGAATTTCATAAATCCAAGAACTCAAACTTTCTTCCATAAAAGACCGTATTAAGATAGAAGTTCAACAAAATCAACTGTTTGGCTTTGATTTCACTAACATCACAAATACCGTCCGGCATAGAAGTCATCGATGGTGAATTGTTTTTACTTTATTTCTTTCCTTAAAATAAAATGTCTGCTAGGCCTATATTCCGTATTTCGCAACACGGGCGACCCAGCGCGCGTTTGAATATGATCGACAAATTCGCGCGTAGTTATCGGCCAACGCCTTAAAAACTCTTGGAGGCGCATTATTGTGAATCACCCCTATTGCCCGCATGTTGTATTCATAAGCATACATGCACACGTATTTTGTAATGGGTGGACATGTATAATATGACTAGAGCACAAGTCAATAGCTCACATATTGCCTTCCACGTTTATGTGCAGGCATTTTAATCTCTGTAAATCTGATCAATATGAAATGCATTATCCCACTAACAAAAATAATTTAGCTTTCTCCAAAAAGAAAATTAAACACAGACACAAATGCATTGATGATGTGACGCAAAGGTCCAGGGACGACATGTTGTCATCAGCGCGCGCCTACAAGACGCGTCTCCAGCGGCAACTCATCACCTTGCCGGCTCCAGTGATGCGTTCATGCCCGTCCAGCACCGCCGGGTGAAGCTGCCTGACGATCGCACAACCAAATACGATTCGGCCGCGGAAAAGTGATAGAATCCGCATGTTTGTCATCAGCCTTTTTGGAATTAGAACTCGCCGAAAGAAAAAAAATCTGTGGATTTCCACAAAGTACCCAAGGTTGTCTAAAATAAGCGCCAGTGTTCTCTGTACGCCAAAGTATGGATCAGTGACTTGATATTTTCGCACTGTAACATCAACAAAAGTAATGGACGGTTTGAGTAGATAAAGAAGGCACATCTGTTTTGCGAGAATCAATTTCACTTCGATTTATCGTAAGATCGCGGGGTTTTCTAATGGCCAAGTGGGTTAAGATGATCCCTCGTGTCGGCTTGTTTGCTTGTTTCGTCTGGTCTTACCTGTCGTTAATTACCATGGCAGATCGCGTCCTGTACAGCAGGCCGTTGAGACTGTCAGGGCTTTGGGATTACAGTTCACAGAAATTAAACAGAAATCCTGTTCCTAAAATAAATACGGAACTTGCTCAGAGAAAAATTTAGAACAAGGAACTAAGTTTGATTGTTATCCATGAGCTCGTCCTCCGAATTTCGAAGCAAGTAGGCCCTAATGTATTAACGCTGACGTTTAAGAGAAGTATTTGTCGAAAAAATTGGATATAATAAAAAACTACTATCTATGATACAGCCTTACATCCAAGTTCCCTGTAGCGCAACTGGGCGGGAGGGGATTGAACACCATGAGCTATTTTGGGGAGTAAATTGTGGTCCACCCCCCCCAACAATCCTGGGCGCATGACTGGAATAGTTGTTGTAGCTTGTTGTAGTAGCAGAAGGTAGGATATCTACTCTTCTGGGAGAAACACTATTATCACATCCGGTAGGTCGTTGAGTTAGTTCTTGCAACGAGGTTGACATAAAGGATTCACAAAACATAGAATCCTATTCCTAACTTACAGAACGTACACAAGACTAGTGGTACCTGAGGCTTTCCTATTGGTGTGTTCATCAAGGGCTCCCCATCAATGTCTTGACTGCGAAATACATTTTGCTTCAAAAATGGGCGTGACTGAGGAATACGGTCCCGACTGCAAAAGATTTATGTTTGCCATACGCGTCAACAGAAGCTAAAGTCGAGTTTGCTGTCGAGTTTTCGGAAATTGCGACGGTGATACACGCGCCATAAGTGGGTTGGTACAACCATAGAGCTACAAACCTATGGGTTTGTAGCTCTATGGTACAACTTAACGGAGGGATTCTGTGAATTCAAACAGGGCACGGGTCGACCTGTTTGCTGAGTTTGGCTTGATCTTGTTGGGATGACCTAATGAAAATTGTTTGATAAAAATGCAGTTATCTGTCGAGATATGGTGCTCCGACAAAGAAATGAAATAACTGTTTTGAATGACCTAATCTCAGACTATATCGTGAAAGGACTGATAATGTGAAGTGTTTGAAGATGTTGAGGAAATGAACCAAGTTCAGTGATACATTTGAAGCTCACAGTCATTTGAAACTTAAAGTTCCAGGGTTTTTGTGAAATGAATGTTTGATTTGTCTTTGCTTTACCAAGCGAATTTTACCATGATTGTGCTTCAGTGAACATGTAAAAGAACTTGACCTATTCAGGCAGGAAATGACGAGGGTGTCTTACTTAATATTGAAGGATGTAAAACGACACATTTCAAATTCATTTCATCAGAAATTACACTATCAGAAATCTTGTAAATCATCTTGATTTAAGTCGTCCCTCTTAACGTCAAGGCCAAAGTAATGGCTACCAGTACCACGAAGAAAACAGAAGGCAGAAGACAAGCATTAGTTTGCACTCCCACATAGCATGACGTTTAGAAGAATCTACTTTTTATGCTCCCAACGTCCGAACAGGAGCCGTGTTTTACACTGTAACAACATCTCATCGTCTCGTGAGAGACATTACTTGATTGTTAGCATACCTAAGGTGGGGTCGGCGTCGCTGTGGAGGTACATGAATTGATGGCTTTGTCAAGAACATAAGTCTCATATCCTTCAGAAACCCGTTGAGACGTCATGACCGCGAAAGACAAATTGTGCCTACTTGTTGCCACGAATTGCCCTAAACCACGAAGCATTTGTGAGAAGCAGTTTGTATGAAACGTCTTTGATTTGGAGGCTATTTTACTGGAATGCGGAAATGCCTACTTTCCCCATTTATTTCAATTTCCACAGCTTTGATATGACGACTCCTTTTATTACATTAATGAAGCGAATTCTATCATTGTAAGAGTACTTTAATATTTATACAAAGAATTTTTGCTCACTAAAACATCTTTATTACAGCTGTATTGTCGAATGATTTTAACTGTAATAAAAGAGATGGAATAAAACAAGGAAGTAAAATGATGTTAAATGTTCAAGTCTTCCATCTGTGCGTGATATAAGTTCACGGCTCCTTCCGAACTCTTAAGAAGAGCGTAGTGTTTGTATCTTCCTCAGGCATGTATTAAAGAACCGATATAAATGAGTGTTTGGAGTCGTTAATGGTCGTACTCGTATCTATCTGTACATGTCAAGTTCACACGCATGAAGCTTCTTTCAGCGAAATGCCGAGTCATACATGTGGCAGGAATGAATGACTTACTTACTCAACTTACCGTTGTTTTCGATGCAGATGAAGATGACCTCATATGACTGAGACAGAATGTACAGATGATTCGTGGCCCCGGTTCGTGGGGCTGTCGACCCACCATAGCCCGATGCATGCAAGGCTGGTCTATCTCCTCATCGCCAACAAGCAGAAGGGTACCCAGATGACTGATGTAGCTAGTGGCTAGTCGCAGGGTCTCGATCTTGGACAGTTTACGGTTCTTGGGCTCCGTAGGGATCAGATCCCGCAGGGTTGTGAAGGCAGAATTGACGCTGTGCGTCCTGTGACGTTCCCGGGCGTTTGCCGCCATTCTCGGGTGCCTATTCCCGTTGGCGTCCGTTTCATCATCTTCCAGTAAACTGTCCATGGCAGGCTTGGACTTGCGACGTCTACTTTTGGCGCCGTTGTTGTTTTTCTTGCCGTCCTGGTCTGACCTATCAGTGGAACAGGAGCTCTCACTGCCTGAGCCCAGCTCTTCACCCAATTCAGCCTCAGCGGCGGCAAACACTTCTGTCATATCCAACTTTCGCTTCGACATTGTTGTTTGTAAGTCTTCCTTCACAACAAAGCCAATTAATAAGTCCGCAAGAGTTCCAGTCAAGTTGCGAGATCACAATTCAAAACGCTTTGTACATGAAGGATAACGGCTTCACGTCCCTCATACAAAACAGAAATTTAGCTCTAAATGTCGTTGGCTTAAACTCAGGTTTTACCCCAAATCGTGAAAAATCGGCCAGTCTTTCCCTATACTGTCACACCGAGTGGACCTACCAAGGGCAAGAAAAGGATTGCCGTCAAATAATCGGCTTGAACTTGGTGGCAAAATAGGCCAGACTGCTCGAGTATTATTTCCACGCGATTCACCGCCAGCGGGAGTTTGAACGAAGGCTTGATGGGGTCGCTACGCTACAGTAGACGGTAGGTCATCAGCCTTCTTTACCAGTCCCTACATCCCAAGCTTTGCCGTGCGGGATCGCAAAGCGTGTAGTCTGTGTCGACGAGGCAGACCAGCATTTATATCAGCGGTGTGTGTTTGTAGTCGTTCGGTGCGGGCTATTACAGTGACTACAGTAGTAAATCAGTCCATACCTCGTGGGTACGATCACCAACATGCACTAGAGGGAACGACAGTTCACATGCGAACACATCAGGCTGCTTCAAGGGGTGTGTGATGCGTAGTCTCCTTTCAAGTCGGATGTATGCTGGTGTATCACAGTGGTTTTGCTGATGCTAGTTGCGGGGGTAACTTCTGCTGAAATGTGTAATTTCCGAACCCACACCAAACCACAAACTGTGACCTGACAAGGTCACGTGCATTAACCAGTTCAACCTGAATTCAACCTTACCAATCCAGAAGCAGAAATGCACACAGTCTGGATCGTATGTGTTTCGATGGTGAAACATGACAAAGTTTTAAGAACCATTACCCTTGGTGTGTCGCCATAAACGTGTTATACGACACGTGCATTAAACCGTCTGTTATAATTATGCGTGAATGCACATACGGATTGTACTTGACCAATAGAATTCAACAACCCGTGTACTATTGTGTATCCACAGAAATTCTAACCAATAACATTCACTGTACACGTCACATGACATTTTGGCTTGCACTTGATTTTACTTTTCAAAATAATGTGTAAAATAGCGCACTGTCTGCATAATTAATTGTGAACAGGGAAACCATTTCTCATTTGACTTGTAGAGCGAACGACCCCTGTCATGATTTGATGATTACTATGGCCACGGTAGACTTGAATCAAGTCTATCACGTCCAACCAGGGTTAATAACATGTGCAACGTCACACTAGGTGCGAAGACCATCTGTCGGAAAGGGCACAGTCACTATAAAAGTGGTCTCCGTTAATTGAAGACTTCAGTAAATTTTGCTTACCAGGAATTTGTTTGCAAGTTAAAGTTTGTCATGCGGATAGGTTGCATGCACTCGTAATCAGGGGAAGCTGTATGACAAGATTTTAGCTTAGGATGTAGGAAGTAATTAGCAAAGAACGTCTTTGTTTACTTCAACCAATCTATGAAAAGCAATGGAGATTAACCAAACTTAATTCATCCAATCGGTTGTCAGTTATCTTTCCAAGGAATGACGCGTTAAGTAATTTGCCTACGCCCAATGCATCTGGCATGCGTGGGATATACGGATTTGAACCAGGATCCAACCCACACCATACAATGATGCGTGGGGGCTGAATGTTTACAGACAGTCGGTCCGGTGGAGTTGTGTTTGTTGGTTATCAAGTGAAATGTTGCGTAAAGCTACAGTCTGGTCCCGGGAGAAGGAACCACGACCAGCAATTTATTGAACGAGGATAAAACAGTCTTTAGTGATTCCGTGTTCAATCCATCATGACTAATCCACTTGGTAAATGGCAGTTGTGCCGTCAAGCTTGTCGCAGTGCTCGACGAAAATACCTGACATTTTGTTGGGTTTTTCAGAAGTTGTTTTCGTCGACTAGTGGTGGTGGGAGTAGTTGATGGTCTTCATGACTTGGTCTTGACAGAAAGGCTTTGGCCGTCGAAACTGATTTCTGGTGACGATATCCAACATCTTATCCCTATTTCGGCTGAGACCTCCGAAATGTTTTAAACGGTTCGGAGTTTTTGTTGGTTGTTAGTTTTGGTTACATTGGGTTCAAGGTGTCGCCGTTCGAAAGCCACAATTTCTCCCGGGGGACATCCGCACTTTCCACTAGGGTCAAAACCAAGGAAAATGAACACGATGATCTGGATATCAACGATTGATCTGGACTGTTTTAGCCCAACTTGAAGTCACCTTCTTCATGTTTCTGGCTTTGATCTTCACTGAAAAAGGAGAATTATTCCTTTCTTCGGTGATTTAGGACAGCAGTGAGCAGTGCTTGTCGTGATGGTCTATAATATATTTGTCTTCGCGGATTTAATTGGAGATATTGAATGGTTTAGGATTGCATTTATCTCCGTCATGCACTGAGGCTGCACTGAAGTAACAATTGAAAGGGTTGATCGCTTTCGCCCCTGCTTCTGAGTTCCTGAAATGGGAGCAGGTACTTAAGTGCCCCTAAAGTACACTGTGTTCTTCTTGCTGTAACCAAGAAATCAGAGTAGCCATTGGGGTTGTTTATATTTGTTTTCAATAAAGTGTTATTTGCAAGATCAAAGAGGACCGTTGTTTGGTACCCGCCGACTCCCATTGACTTAATATTCTGCACATTCTCAAAATCTACGTGACATGTGGAATTACCAGCCTTAATTTCAGAAATTCATTTCTTCCCTAGAATTGAAAAAATGAAGTTGTGCTCCGACACTTATATCCTAAGGGTCAAACTGAAAATTTAATGATCCAGTAATAGAACGTTCACAGCCTTTTAGTAATACTTTATCTGATCACTCCCAGGTAGTCTGGTGTCTAAAATATAGCAACAGTTTTATTTATTTTACGAACTAAGATAACCTTTTATTTTCAGTCCTCTTGGCTCCAGCTGCTGCTACTGCCACAGAACTTTGCTGAAAGTGATTAGTTCATGACTCCGTCGGTGCCGGGAAGTCTGCAGAAACAAACCCGTCAGTTCACAGCAAACTCCCCTTTTATAATCTCGGCAGCCCCAGTTAGAGACCTTCATAAGGTGCCGTGTACTTTATGATGGCGGACCGAGCACGCGCAAAGCCCAGAACCGTTGAAAGACAGGTCTGCCTGGCTGCCTACGACCACTGAATTTCTGCTCAGAACAGTACTGATGTGGGAAGATTGGTGTGATTTTGATGCAGGATCTTCGAACTTAAAAGGTAGTCACGCCACCTAGTTTGGATGTTGTGTAATCATTCTGACCTTAGTGGTATCAACGTCCGTCACTTAGGTTCAAATCCTACCCACAGACCTGGAATTCCATTACACCAGAAGCAATGCAGGTTTTGGACCCCTAGCTATATCGTTCGGTGGGCTTTCCTAATTCACTTAGTATTTGAGCTTCATGGAAGATTTTGCCTCCACTATAGATTTCTTTAAGATTTTTGTACTACACAGCGGTTTGAACTTCGAGGAATCGTTGCCTTAACTAATGACTTGGCTGCTTTTTAATACAACACAATACAGCGAACATGTATATCTGTTCGTTGGTCCCCATATTTTGACCTCAAAAACCACAATAAAATGACCGCTTTAGAGCAGCTGCCGTGTTAACCTCAAACCCTGTCGAGAAGACGAAAGATGTGATAATTATGTGGTGAAGATCAGCATAAATGATAGTTCAGGTTGGACCGATCATTACATCGAAGCTGGTGCTCACTGTCCATAGTTCACAAATGAAGGACGTGAACACCAAGTGACACAGCCTATAATTATCAAGACCAAAAAATAAAACAATAAAAATAAAAGAGAAATAGGCTACAGTTTATGATTGATTCTGGATTTTGGGATTCATACCACAAGAGTGCTGGGAGCCACTGGAGTGTGAGTGCATGTGTTACAGATGCTCTTTTTTGAATCTTCCAAAGTTTCTTTATATCCTGTTATCTGGTCCTCTATACGTAAAATATGAGGACGATGCCTTTTCTGGCTTTAAAAGACACGTGCAATTCTTGACAGAATTACTGCTGTAACGTCTTTCGTCTTTCCGAGAACATTTCACGCTTATGTAGTGGCTGGGATCAACAGCAACATATTGGACCCCGTAATGTCTGCCTAAAATAACCAGTAAACGACTTGAAAAGTACACCCAAACAAAAGCTTCATCCTTCTCCATTTAATCAGTCATGACTCTCCGATCGAAATACTTTTACCAACCGATGTGCGGTATGCCACCTAGCCATGTGCCCATAGGGTCTCCGACCTGCAGTCTCCGTTCTAATTATCACCAGCGACGCACAGGGGCATGCGCCAGCCGTAAATCACTCCATTGGCCCGGTGGCCGACGACTGACAGCGACCCGCTACAGTCGCTCGCCGGCCGTAAACAAATTACCACTGGCTCTATCAAGAGATTTACGCAAGGAGCCCAGGATTTATCGCTGGAACTGGTATCTCTCATTTCACCTGTTCAATCGTGGAATTTTCAAGACTTGGGTATTCCAAGGTAATTAGTCGTTGGTTCGAACCCTCCTCGGATAACTAAGCTGAAAAACGGGATTTACTTCAAGGTTGGCGTTAGACACCCACGTAAAAGCTGAAGGGGAAACCGTTACATCTCTCACTGAATTATTAATACACATGGCAGGATACACAAAACCACACATATTACATACGTTAGGAGTGCCGTACAGGTCTATTTTTCCACGCAGTCATTGGTTTCGGTCCAGTTAGGCCAGCATGACCCTTCTACAAGTATTCAAAAAGAGAAATATTGACTCCCAAAAGAAAAGCAGGAATAATTTATAAGGGTATAGAGGGCTGTGCTGAGGTTACCTTCATTACTTCCCAGGGACTTCGTAAGTGAGGGTAAGTCTGTTGGTAAACCAGGATATACGCTAAACTGGCATCGGAAATGGAAATCAATCAATTGTTGCCGGTTGATTATCTCCAAGTGGTTGGCTGGAGTTTTTGATCGCTTGCAGGTGTGCTCGAGAGTTGTTCTCTTTTGAGCAGAGTTAGATCTGTAGCAAATCTTGTGATTCATTTAAATTCTATCCCCATTCTACCTGTCCTTGGGTTCTAAGCATCCATAACTTCACCTACCATTGGCTCCACTCTTTCGGGAGTTGATACGTTCTTTGCACAGTGCAGATGTATGAGAATAAACCCGATTAAAACTTTGATTATGATGAACTGTTTATGAACAATGGCTAACTATCCAATCATGAAAGCTGTGTTTGTTTAAATGACATTTCTCCTGCAGGTGTTGAAAGCTTTGAATGGTGTATCGTTATCATATTACAGTCGGTCTATTGATCGGTATCATTGTGGAGTAAAATCCCAAGACTTACGAAGCTCAGCGGGACTTCGGAACTAACAGCTGCAGGGCACTGGAACCTGCGACCGGTATGGCGTTTTACGACTTCACGGTGGGGAAGGGGGCGGAATCATCCCAAAATAATGCTCTGCGGGAAAAAAGACCATTTTGGAAAGAGTTTTACTAGAATTGGACACTGCAGGG